TTCACATTTAATGTAACACTCACATTTGAGATCTACACACAGTAGGCGTCAACAAATTCACACAAAATTAATCAAACTACTTTTGTATGTCACTTCACATCTAATGTAACACTCACATTTGAGATCTACACACAGTAGGCGTCAACAAATTTACACAAAATTAATCAAACTACTTTTGTATGTCACTTCACATTTAATGTAACACTCACATTTGAGACCTACACACAGTAGGCGTCAACAAATTTACTATATTATACAGTAGTATAGCAGTAAATAAATAAATATAGTCAGTCAGTCTACGGCACAGCCTCGAGCAGACGTGACTATTCAACAAAAAAAAAAAAAAAAAAAAAAAAAAAAACCACAAAGGAAACAAATACTCTGCGCCATATATTAAAACTCAAATTACCCCAGGCAAATGCAATCTTAAACTTAAACTACTACACTAAATAACAAGACAAATATTCCTAAAAGACTAAAATTCACTAAATGAAACAAAGTCTAAACAAACAATAACTCAGACTAAGGGAAACAAGCAAAACAATAAACTAATGACAATTCTACAAACAAAACAATAACCTAAGAATAACAAATAACCTATTTATATACTATAAAATCAGACTTGGTAACTTTCCACGTCTTATCTGGAAATAAAAAGATTTATAATAATAAAGCCAGTCCTTTTGCTACATATATAAGCACATACTTACCCATCCATCATCAACTTGGCTGTCCTCTCTGGTGCCACCTGCAATGAAACAAATTACATTGAAACAATATAAACAACTTTAAACTATAACACAGTACTCACCAAACAATAATTAATTCCTGAATCCTAATAAATTGAAACTACTTACCAAACGAATCCAACCACCAAATAAGAACAAAGCTGAAAATACACAAAATGTTTAAAATTCGATAACGATAAAATTGTACAAAATACTAAAACTCGATAATGATAAAGTAAGCAACCCTACTCAAAGATAAATTGACGCGCAAGCTACGCTAGCACAAATTTAACAAATACCGCGCGCGAACACAAATAATTCTACGATCCAATAAAATAAATCATCGCAATACATGCAGTTGAACTACTCCAATAAATAAATTACCGCAATACATGCAGTTGAACTACTCCTGCCGACAACTTTTAATGATACTTAATATAATAAATATGCAAGTAAACGATGAAAACAAATATGTACTTACCAATCTTACAACATGGCCGCCTCAACTAATTCCTGCTGCAAATAAAGACTAAAAACACAAGCAACAAAACAAAACGGGCTAAACTTCTAATTACATATGCAACACTCGCAACAAAACTTTCTAATAAAAGTGCAAAACCCTAAGTAAAAACAAAATAAATACGCTAAACAACCATAATTATAAATAAATAATCGATTTAACAAAGCAAATAATAAAAACACTTAACAATAAATTAATAAATAAAACAAATGTTAAAATGGATAGACAAAACAAATAAATAAACTTATAACTAATACACGATATTTCAATAATATACCCACCTCGCTATACACGCTACTGAGTGAATCTTGCAGTCAAATCTAACAAACAAAAAATAAATAAATAATAATAATAAATCCAAAAACTTAAATATAAACAAAGTTAAAGCCCATAGCAAGCTAATAATAAATTAATATTCTTACTAATAAAACCAACAATAAATAAAAATCTCAAAAAAAAATCAAGCAAAGCAAATAAATAAACAATCACGATATAAGAAATTCTAAATAAAGACGAACACTATGGAAAGAAACAAAGTAAGCAAAAGCCAGAAAATAAAGGGTGCCTATGAATAAATAGCAAGTCTCAGACTAGCCTCTCTCCTGGATCCACGGAGTACTTACAACCTGGACATAGCTACAAATAAGAGCATCGACAGCAGCGCCTTCTTCTGTCTTCCCCTCCGGGCCACTGAAGACTGGATGACAGCGACTGATGACGCCCCTAGAGTTATCAAATCAACAATACAACTAACAAACCAGCTAAATGTAATTATATTTAAGAATAGTAATCCAAATTAAATTTAAAGAATAGTAATCCAAATTGAATTTAAAGAATAGTAATCTAAATTGAATTTAACGAAGAAAATCTGACTTAGTCTTTACTCTTCCCCACCAAATTAAATCTGTATAAATAACTACAACTTTACTAGATAGATATATATATGTATATAAAAAAGAAAACACTCAATTATTTGTAAAATTCAAACTTTATTAATAAACACTTATATTAAGTTTCGCCTACTACTAGCTTATAATACTTACCACATAAGTGAATTGTAAATAAGCTGCCAACTAATTTCTAGAAAGTACTAACGCAAAGCACTGAGAAATGAATAAAGACACCCTGTTCCCTCTTCTCTCACCTTTACGCTGCTGGGCAGCCTAAAGCTTGAGGCGAGAAAAAGCAGGGCAATTGTGTATGTGATTCCCTCGCATGCAGGCTGAAATAATACGAAGATGGATCAGCTTATTACTATGTTGACTTTATTAACAAACTGCATGATGGCTAAACACGTCAATGACACATCCAATATTGCCTAGTTCTCTTGGAAGCACTTACACATTAAGGATTCTGGTTTTGAATGCAGCTGGTCTGTATAATAAACTGGAAAGATTTTGAATCCCAAACAGGATACCAGTTCCAGAAGAGATGACGTTTCCAGACAGGATGCCATTCCTAATCAAGATATCTATACATTCACTAGCACATAATTAATCAAACTACTTTTGTATTTCACTTCACATTTAATGTAACACTCACATTTGAGACCTACACACAATAGGCGTCAACAAATTTACTATATTATACAGTAGTATAGCAGTAAATAAATAAATATAGTCAGTCAGTCAGCCTCATGCGGACCTGACTATTCAAATCAAAAAAAAAAAAAAAAAAAAAAAAAAAAAAAAAAAGCAGCTGCAGGTCAGCTGATCATGAATGAGATAGGAAGGGATGGGGATCATTATTGTGTGTTCTGCCTAGACATACAAACAGAAATAAATGTCTAATAATGTATCTGATGCACATATTGCTAATAGACGCAGCTGCACACTGCAGACTGCTGTATCTAATAGTACCAACAACATTAACATCTCCATATGGAATGCTGCTGGTATTACAAATAAGCTTATTGAAGTAAAGCAATATGTTATTAAGCATAATATAGACATTATACTAATATCTGAAACCCATCTGACGGACAAGGACAACATTGTAATTGACGGATACATAATTTATTTGGCAAACCACCCTACAAATAGGCGCAGAGGTGGCGCAGCTTTTATAATCAAACAATACATCTGCCATTACGCTATGCGCTGCTCATCCTTGGACTCGCACCAAAGTGTTGAAGTATCAGTCAGCTTACAAAACGGCAAGCACGTAAATATTGTGGCCATTTACTGCCCACCGCAAGTAAGCTGGACTGCGCAAGACTTCAGCAATCTTCTGAATTTGCTGGGCGACACGTATCTTGTAGGTGGTGACTGGAACGCAAAGAGCCAATGGTGGGGAAACGCCAGATCCTGTATTAGAGGCAGAACGTTAGTAAACAGTATTTTCCAAGAAAATTGCAATATTCTGGCAACTGGGTCGCCAACGCATTACCCTTTCAACTCACGCCAAACTCCATCTGCCATAGACTTTGCGCTTTTCAAAGGCATCAGGCGAGATTTGCTGGCCATCACTGACTCTTTCGAGCTAAACTCGGATCACCTCCCATTGCAAGTCCAGCTGGTTGAGAAGCCGATCATCAGCAAAGCAAAAGGCCATCTTCTGGATTTGAATGCTAATATAAGCAAATTTCAAAGTTACCTAAACGACAGAATCTTACTCAACACTGAAATCAGCAGTCCAGATGATGTTGATGATGCTGTTGATATTCTTGTCAAAAACGTCCAAGATGCTGCAAACTTTGCCAATGCGCAGTGTCCACGCAAGATAACCAGATCTAGGTTTCGAGTCAAAAGCCAGACTCTCCAGTTGATTGAGGCCAAGAAGCAAATCAAACGCTATCTTCTACAAAGCCGAAATCCCCCTGGCAAAGCAGATCTGCAATAGGCTGTCAAATCGCATCAGCAAAGATATAAAATCTGCAAAGCAAAAATATGAAGAAGAATTATTCAGCTCTATCGACCCCACAGATAGATACAGTATGCAAAAGCTCTGGCGACTTACCAACGAAATCAAGCGACAGCCGGCTCCAAATCTGCCACTATTAAAGTCCAGCGATGGCAATGGCTCTAACGCCAATAATGTATGGTGCAAAACAACGGCGGAGAAAGCTGAAGTCTTTGCTGATAGCCTTGAGCAACGCTTCAAGCCTCTCATCTCTGCATCACCTGGCGACTTGGCCGAAATTGAGGCGCAAATTAGTCAGTCACCAGCGTCTGCCTTGGTCTCTTTTCGGCCAGTCACAGTGACAGAGGTCATTAATCATATTAGCACGCTGGAGAAGAAGAAAGCAGCTGGTTTAGATAATATCGACAATCACACTATCAAAGCGCTGCCAATGAGGGCAATACTATACCTTGTTTTAATATGCAACAACTCACTTCGAATGGGCCATTTTCCTACCAGCTGGAAGTTAGCACTGGTCAAGATGATACACAAGCCCGGCAAGCCCACGCAGCATGTATCATCATACAGGCCAATAAGTCTCTTGTCTGGCTTATCTAAAATATTAGAGTTCTTAATTCTGAGCCGTATGCTTGAGCAAGACGCACTTACCAATGCTATACCCAGCCACCAATTTGGCTTTCGCAAGGCCCACTCAGCTGAGCAACAGCTTGGGCGAGTCACGCAGTTCATTCTGAAATCATATGAAGAACATAAGTATTGCTCTGCTGTTTACTTGGACATAAAAGAAGCATTTGACAGAGTGTGGCACTCAGGTCTGAGATACAAACTCAAGATGCTCTTACCTGACGCTCTGTATCGAATCCTTTGCTCCTACTTAGCAAATCGATCATTTATTGTTGAATGCCATGGAGGATGCCGCTCTGCAACCAAGCAAATACACGCTGGGGTGCCTCAAGGCAGCCTGCTTGGGCCAGTGCTGTATAACATATACACCAGTGATATTCCAAGCCCAACTTATGCCTCTGGAAATAAAATCCTCTTAGCCACTTATGCCGATGACGTCGTAGTCCTCTCAGCAAACTGTCGGCAAGCAGATGCGTTAGCTCAGCAACAAGCATATATGGACAAATTAGCTCTGTGGGCGAAGAAATGGTGCATTACAATAAACACTAGTAAAACTATGCACATTATGCATACTTACAAAAAGGATATCGCCATACCAGGATATCCGCATTGGCAATGAAACAATTAAAAACGGCACTTCACATCCTTATTTGGGTGTCACTATGGACACAAAGCTGCACTTCGGCACTCATGTCACCACTGTCGTCTCGAGGATTAGGGCACGGCTGAAAAAGATAGATTGGCTGATTAATAAAAATAGTAAATTGTCTCTAAAAACTAAAACGATAATTTACAAACAACTAGTTGCACCACTGTGGCAATATACTATACCTGTCTGGGGTGCGCTCCTATCCGAAACTCAGTTCGACCGCATCAGAGTTGCACACAACAGAGCACTGAGAACCATATCTGGCGCTCAATATTATATTTCAAATGCTCGCATCAGATCTGAGCTGGGCGTTTTATCTGTGGATGAATTATTTAATAATATTTGCACTAAATATTATGATAGACTGCGAGTACACAGCAACAATGAGGCTAGAAGCATAGCCCACTATCCGTTTGTACCACAGCGGCTAACTATGCCCAGATACTCTAGCCTCGTCAATACTCACCTGGCTAATGAAATCGAGTTGCGCGCACAGCGACAGCAGCGAAGACAAGCGGAGTTCGACGAGGAGCTACACGCTAATTATCTTCGCCGACATCCGCCCGTATACGGCCCGATAACTTTACGCGAGCACAGCCGCAACATTTTAGCAGAGAGGTTCACGAGGTCATATCCGGCCTCAACCCGCAACTCCAGCGAAAATCTTCGCAGAATGGCAGCGCGACGCAGAAACGAGGCTCGTCGCAACGGCGCGCCATCGTATGACGCAGTCCCACACACCCCCACCTCTGGGGCGACACAAAATATAGGCGACGCTACTGCCTCGCAGTCGCGCCTGCCAATCTTTCGACAACTGGCGCCACTGCCACCCACAGCGAGCACTTCGCGCACACACCACACAAATCCAGGAGATTCTTCGGCCGATGCAGGCTGGTCCTTCCCCAGCAACTGATTGCAAGCATATACGCTAAAAAAGAACATAAATCTACATTAAAATTCAAATTGGCAATTGGTATATGCAAGCAACTTACCTGGAAACTGGTCGTCCTCACATATCCTATCTGCAAAGGGTATCCTAACAAATAAAACTCAAATTGAATTTTATATTCAATTAAAAGTTTTATTTGGCACGTATGCATATACACACATGCAGCAAAACAACACTACAATGCACTGGCTTAAACTACACAATCATCTTAACAAAACTGGCGGCGCTGCTCGGTGATTGGGATGTGGAGTCTTCTCAGCTGCTACCTCTCGTTCCACCGGATGATTCCCTGCAAATAAAAACAAAACAACATTAAGTATAAACACTTATATACATATATGTATAATTAACATTACTCACTTCTTCGGCCTGTCGAACACACGTTCACTTGCACTTGGGAGAAATTGCTGAAACAGACGAATAATTTATTAATTAATATCTAATTATTAATAATTATCTCAGTATTCTTATTAGAATCCATACTTATCTCTTTCAGTTGCAACTTTTGCAATTAATTGCACTCTGCCTTTTCATCATATGCTTTTCAAACATATGTTTTGTCTTTGCATATCGATAGACAGGGATGCACAATCACTTTCACGATCGCACTTACGATGTATTTAATAAATTTTAACTAAATTAAATATGCTAAAATGAAATGAAAAACCTATTGAAAATCAAATATTGAAATGAAAACAACTATTACTATTAATTATATTACTCTTATACTACTAATACTATATTTAGCTTAAACAACCTATAAGGGAAAATGACTAGACTTTGTCTTGAATTTTCTCATTCAATTGAATGGCGGCATTATGGCAGCTAATTGATCTGCGCATCTCATAGATGCAGCTGTATATGAATTTAATTATATTAATTATCTCTAATTACATATTTATACTACTTATATTTGAATTATATTAATTATTACTACTTATATATATATATATATCTATAATACTTATACTCTATCTTACTCATTAGTTTACAACTAGCAATTTAAGCATATCAATGTCATCTGCTCTTTTATACGTACACATATATCACAATGGTGCACTGCTATCTTTTGTTGCACTTGTGGCCATTTAAACTAATCATAGTTTCGCTAAATATCGACCGAATGTATATTTTTTAAAGTATCTTTTAGGCGCAATTTTAATTCTAAGAAAATACTATTGTCAAAGTATTGCATGAATAAAGAGCATCTCTATTTTCTCTTTTCCTCTTCATCTAGCTGCTGGACAGCTAATATGAATGAGAGGAAAGGGAATAAGAGATCATTAATGTGTGTTCTGTCAAGGCATACAAACAGGAGGGCACGTATGCATATACACACATGCAGCAAAACAACACTACAATGCACTGGCTTAAACTACACAATCATCTTAACAAAACTGGCGGCGCTGCTCGGTGATTGGGATGTGGAGTCTTCTCAGCTGCTACCTCTCGTTCCACCGGATGATTCCCTGCAAATAAAAACAAAACAACATTAAGTATAAACACTTATATATATATATATGTATAATTAACATTACCTCGCAGCCATTTTGCGTCACTCACTTCTTCGGCCTGTCGAACACACGTTCACTTGCACTTGGGAGAAATTGCTGAAACAGACGAATAATTTATTAATTAATATCTAATTATTAATAATTATCTCAGTATTCTTATTAGAATCCATACTTATCTCTTTCAGTTGCAACTTTTGCAATTAATTGCACTCTGCCCTATTCATCATATGCTTTTCAAACATATGTTTTGTCTTTGCATATCGATAGACAGGGATGCACAATCACTTTCACGATCGCACTTACGATGTATTTAATAAATTTTAACTAAATTAAATATGCTAAAATGAAATGAAAAACCTATTGAAAATCAAATATTGAAATGAAAACAACTATTACTATTAATTATATTACTCTTATACTACTAATACTATATTTAGCTTAAACAACCTATAAGGGAAAATGACTAGACTTTGTCTTGAATTTTCTCATTCAATTGAATGGCGGCATTATGGCAGCAAATTGATCTGCGCATCTCATAGATGCAGCTGTATATGAATTTAATTATATTAATTATCTCTACCTACATATTTATACTACTTATATTTGAATTATATTAATTATTACTACTTATATATATATATATATCTATAATACTTATACTCTATCTTACTCATTAGTTTACAACTAGCAATTTAAGCATATCAATGTCATCTGCTCTTTTATACGTACACATATATCACAATGGTGCACTGCTATCTTTTGTTGCACTTGTGGCCATTTAAACTAATCATAGTTTCGCTAAATATCGACCGAATGTATATTTTTTAAAGTATCTTTTAGGCGCAATTTTAATTCTAAGAAAATACTATTGTCAAAGTATTGTATGAATAAAGAGCATCTCTATTTTCTCTTTTCCTCTTCATCTAGCTGCTGGACAGCTAATATGAATGAGAGGAAAGGGAATAAGAGATCATTAATGTGTGTTCTGTCAAGGCATACAAACAGAAAAAAACACATAATTAATCAAACTACTTTTGTATTTCACTTCACATTTAATGTAACACTCACATTTGAGATCTACACACAGTAGGCGTCAACAAATTCACACAAAATTAATCAAACTACTTTTTGTATGTCACTTCACATCTAATGTAACACTCACATTTGAGATCTACACACAGTAGGCGTCAACAAATTTACACAAAATTAATCAAACTACTTTTGTATGTCACTTCACATTTAATGTAACACTCACATTTGAGACCTACACACAGTAGGCGTCAACAAATTTACTATATTATACAGTAGTATAGCAGTAAATAAATAAATATAGTCAGTCAGTCTACGGCACAGCCTCGAGCAGACGTGACTATTCAACAAAAAAAAAAAAAAAAAAAAAAAAAAATGAAACAGCCAAGTGGTTGGCCGCAGCAGCGAATGCAGCAAAAGCAGCAAAAACAGCAGCAACAGCAAATTCAACGCATTCAGCCTCAAAATATGCAGCAACTACAGCTGCAACTACTACTTCAACAGCAGCAAGTGCAGCAGCAACAAGTGCAGCAACAAGTGCAGCAGCAGCAGCAGCAACAAGTGCAGCAACAAGTGCAGCAGCAGCAGCAGCAGGTGCAGCAGCAGAGGCAGCAAGTGCAGCAACTCCTCCCGACTCATCAATATCTAGGTGCCAGGGATAATACGAGCAGTATTGAAAAGAAGCTAGATCAATTGATTGGCCTAATGCTGCTCGAACGCAAGCATCCAAATGCAAATGCAAATTCAAATTCAATTGAGAATGCTAATTCAGCCATCAACAAGGCTATCGTCAACAAGCTGGATCGTCTAATAGATATGATGTCCGCGCTAACAACCTGCTTGTCTGCCAGCATTAGCAGTAGCAGGCAACAAATCGCAAATGAGACCCCAAATATATAATGACTACCTGTTCTTATAGCCTATACAAACCTAATTCAACTACTATAATTTTCTACACTCACCCACTTCACTTAACAATAATAATAATAATATCAATACTCACTCAGTAGCAATCCACTCCTCCTTATTATCTAACGCACTCTTGTCGCAATTGCGCATGGTGAAGATGAGAAGAAGAAGAGAGTACAAACACAATTGTTCATTAGCTTTAAATCGACGTGATTACTGCTTTTGGTCACAATACATCAATATACGCACAAAGATGACTCGCTGTTGCCTGTTGCTGCACATCCTGGTTGTTGTTGTTGGCGTCGATGGTGTCCAGTATGCTGCTTCTGCGGCGAAGATGATGACTGATCTGCAATATAAAAAAAAAAAAAAAAAAAAAACACAATTATTATCTACATCAATTCCTTGACTCCTATCGAATTACGATTGTGATCAAGAAGTGGTTCATTACCAATCGAATAGTAATTGCTCTGCACTCCCTGCTACGTGTCCATATTGATGACCGGCAGGCTGTCATTGTGGGTGCAGACAGAGACTCTCGATACTTGTCGTCAATTGTGGGCGACAATTGGCCATTCAATGTGTATGGGCTTGCAGCTAGATGACAGGCTGCATGCATTTGCCCATGACACGACATATTGCATTTGCTCGCACCAGAGCTAATGATGCTGAAGCCACTTGATGTCTGCGCCATTTCCACTGATGTTGATGACGCCGATGATCCTGTTGCCGATGCTGGTGTTGGTGGCGTCAACAAATTCACACAAAATTAATCAAACTACTTTTGTATGTCACTTCACATCTAATGTAACACTCACATTTGAGATCTACACACAGTAGGCGTCAACAAATTTACACAAAATTAATCAAACTACTTTTGTATGTCACTTCACATTTAATGTAACACTCACATTTGAGACCTACACACAGTAGGCGTCAACAAATTTACTATATTATACAGTAGTATAGCAGTAAATAAATAAATATAGTCAGTCAGTCTACGGCACAGCCTCGAGCAGACGTGACTATTCAACAAAAAAAAAAAAAAAAAAAAAAAAAATACTATACCTGTCTGGGGTGCGCTCCTATCCGAAACTCAGTTCGACCGCATCAGAGTTGCACACAACAGAGCACTGAGAACCATATCTGGCGCTCAATATTATATTTCAAATGCTCGCATCAGATCTGAGCTGGGCGTTTTATCTGTGGATGAATTATTTAATAATATTTGCACTAAATATTATGATAGACTGCGAGTACACAGCAACAATGAGGCTAGAAGCATAGCCCACTATCCGTTTGTACCACAGCGGCTAACTATGCCCAGATACTCTAGCCTCGTCAATACTCACCTGGCTAATGAAATCGAGTTGCGCGCACAGCGACAGCAGCGAAGACAAGCGGAGTTCGACGAGGAGCTACACGCTAATTATCTTCGCCGACATCCGCCCGTATACGGCCCGATAACTTTACGCGAGCACAGCCGCAACATTTTAGCAGAGAGGTTCACGAGGTCATATCCGGCCTCAACCCGCAACTCCAGCGAAAATCTTCGCAGAATGGCAGCGCGACGCAGAAACGAGGCTCGTCGCAACGGCGCGCCATCGTATGACGCAGTCCCACACACCCCCACCTCTGGGGCGACACAAAATATAGGCGACGCTACTGCCTCGCAGTCGCGCCTGCCAATCTTTCGACAACTGGCGCCACTGCCACCCACAGCGAGCACTTCGCGCACACACAACACAAATCCAGGAGATTCTTCGGCCGATGCAGGCTGGTCCTTCCCCAGCAACTGATTGCAAGCATATACGCTAAAAAAGAACATTAATCTACATTAAAATTCAAATTGGCCATTGGTATATGCAAGCAACTTACCTGGAAACTGGTCGTCCTCACATATCCTATCTGCAAAGGATATCCTAACAAATAAAACTCAAATTGAATTTTATATTCAATTAAAAGTTTTATTTGGCACGTATGCACATACACACATGCAGCAAAACAACACTACAATGCACTGGCTTAAACTACACAATCAACTTAACAAAACTGGCGGCACTGCTCGGTGATTGGGATGTGGAGTCTTCTCAGCTGCTACCTCTCGTTCCACCGGATGATTCCCTGCAAATAAAAACAAAACAACATTAAGTATAAACACTTATATACATATATGTATAATTAACATTACCTCGCAGCCATTTTGCGTCACTCACTTCTTCGGCCTGTCGAACACACGTTCACTTGCACTTGGGAGAAATTGCTGAAACAGACGAATAATTTATTAATTAATATCTAATTATTAATAATTATCTCAGTATTCTTATTAGAATCCATACTTATCTCTTTCAGTTGCAACTTTTGCAATTAATTGCACTCTGCCTTTTCATCATATGCTTTTCAAACATATGTTTTGTCTTTGCATATCGATAGACAGGGATGCACAATCACTTTCACGATCGCACTTACGATGTATTTAATAAATTTTAACTAAATTAAATATGCTAAAATGAAATGAAAAACCTATTGAAAATCAAATATTGAAATGAAAACAACTATTACTATTAATTATATTACTCTTATACTACTAATACTATATTTAGCTTAAACAACCTATAAGGGAAAATGACTAGACTTTGTCTTGAATTTTCTCATTCAATTGAATGGCGGCATTATGGCAGCTAATTGATCTGCGCATCTCATAGATGCAGCTGTATATGAATTTAATTATATTAATTATCTCTAATTACATATTTATACTACTTATATTTGAATTATATTAATTATTACTACTTATATATATATATCTATAATACTTATACTCTATCTTACTCATTAGTTTACAACTAGCAATTTAAGCATATCAATGTCATCTGCTCTTTTATACGTACACATATATCACAATGGTGCACTGCTATCTTTTGTTGCACTTGTGGCCATTTAAACTAATCATAGTTTCGCTAAATATCGACCGAATGTATATTTTTTAAAGTATCTTTTAGGCGCAATTTTAATTCTAAGAAAATACTATTGTCAAAGTATTGTATGAATAAAGAGCATCTCTATTTTCTCTTTTCCTCTTCATCTAGCTGCTGGACAGCTAATATGAATGAGAGGAAAGGGAATAAGAGATCATTAATGTGTGTTCTGTCAAGGCATACAAACAGAAGAGGATAAAGAGGACATTGAATCTCAATGCTTGCCAGATTTAGACAGTGGTAGCTTGCCTCCTGTGCAATTTCGACCTATACTTGTTCAGGAAGTTATGACCATAATCAATGATCTTCAAATTAAGAAGTCTCCTGGGTTAGACTTCATTGATAACTGGACACTCAAAGCACTTCCTCTAAAGGCACTGCTGTATTTAACTCTTATATTCAACAGTGCGCTCAGATTTGGACACTTTCCCAGCCGATGGAAATGCGCAAGAGTCAGAATGATAGTTAAACCTGGTAAGCCAGCCCATGAGCTGACTTCCTACAGGCCAATCAGCTTACTCTCAGGGCTATCCAAAATCCTTGAGAAGTTAATTATGAATAGGCTATTTGAGGTGGAGGCGTTTTGTAAGGCAATGCCTGATCATCAATTTGGCTTTCGTAGTCGGCATTCCACAGAACAGCAACTTGGTCGTGTCACTCAATTCATTATGGAAGCTTTTGAAGATAATTATTTCTGCTCAGCCGTCTATCTGGACATTTCTGAAGCTTTTGATCGTGTCTGGCACCCAGGGCTTCTACACAAGCTACAGAAGTTACTACCAAATGTACTATTTAACATCCTACATAGTTATCTCAAAAATCGTACATTTATAGTGGAGTGTTTCGCCTCCACAAGGAGGCGTTTTGAGCCCAATTCTGTATAATTTCTACACTGCGGACATGCCACTACCAGCCATATCCAGCGTTCGACGCCCAACTGCACGCATGATGCTAGGAACATATGCTGATGACACTGCAATTCTCTCGAGCAATATTAGTTTGACACATGCTGTACAACACCTTAATCATTATATCAACACATTTCACGAATGGACCAAAAAATGGTGTATCAAACTCAACTATTCCAAAACAGTTCATGTGATACATTCAATTCGACAAGTACAATATGATCATCAAAGTGTTGTCACAATTGCGGGTAATAATATTGACAACAAAACTAGCCATAGATATTTGGGCATACAGCTGGATAACAAACTGTTGTTAAAAACTCATATTAATAATATAATTGGCAAGCTTAGAACGAGAACTAAAGAGTTAAAGTGGATAATTGGAGCTAGAAGTAAGCTGCCACTAAAACTTAAAATATTACTATATAAGCTGCTTATTGCGCCGATTTGGCAATATGCTCTTCCTATATGGGGCGCGCTGATATGCGAGACCAGATTTAATAAGCTGCAAGTAGCACAAAATAAAATACTTAGAGAAATAACAGGTGCACCGTGGTATGTCAGTAATAACACACTTCATATAGATCTGCAAGTAGACACTGTTGAAAGCATCTATAATAAACTGTGTTATAAATATGTGAGCCGGCTTCTTGCTCATCCCAATCCTGAGGCAAGACGAATTGGTAACTACCCGTGCATTCCGCAACGGCTGAAGTGGAAGCGTTACTCCGTGATGCTCAACAATCACTTGCAATCAAACATATTTAAGCGGAAATGGGAACTATTACAGGCCAAGCAGAGACGGGCACATGGTTGCATATATGTTGCTACTATCCCTTCTAAAAATGCAGTTTCTACTTTTAATCATCCTGTTAACTTAAATCGGAACTTCAACTCATATCAGAATATCAGTTTTAGGCGGGACGATAGTTTCAGGCAAGATACTGGCTCCAGTCAAAATAATGGTTTCAATCAGGTCGATGGCTCCAGACAAAATTCCATTCCCAGTCGAAATATTGGCTCTAGTCGAGATGTCAATCTTATTCAAATCGACGGTTCCAGACAGGATGCTGGCTCCAGTTAAAATACTGGTTCTTCCATACAGATTTTGAATCCCAAACAGGATGCCAGTCCCGGAAGAGATGACGTTTCCTGGCCGGATGCAATTCTTAATCAAGATATCTATACATTCACTAAAAACATAATTAATCAAACTACTTTTGTATTTCACTTCACATTTAATGTAACACTCACATTTGAGATCTACACACAGTAGGCGTCAACAAATTTACACAAAATTAATCAAACTACTTTTGTATGTCACTTCACATCTAATGTAACACTCACATTTGAGATCTACACACAGTAGGCGTCAACAAATTTACACAAAATTAATCAAACTACTTTTGTATGTCACTTCACATCTAATGTAACACTCACATTTGAGACCTACAGACAGTAGGCGTCAACAAATTTACTATATTATACAGTAGTATAGCAGTAAATAAATAAATATAGTCAGTCAGTCTACGGCACAGCCTCGAGCAGACGTGACTATTCAACAAAAAAAAAAAAAAAAAAAAAAAAAAAAAAAAAAAAAAAAAAAAAAAAAAAAAAAAAAAAAATTACAACCTGGACATAGCTACAAATAAGAGCATCGACAGCAGCGCCTTCTTCTGTCTTCCCCTCCGGGCCACTGAAGACTGGATGACAGCGACTGATGACGCCCCTAGAGTTATCAAATCAACAATACAACTAACAAACCAGCTAAATGTAATTATATTTAAGAATAGTAATCCAAATTAAATTTAAAGAATAGTAATTTAAATTGAATTTAAAGAATAGTAATCTAAATTGAATTTAACGAAGAAAATCTGACTTAGTCTTTACTCTTCCCCACCAAATTAAATCTGTATAAATAACTACAACTTTACTAGATAGATATATATATGTATATAAAAAAGAAAACACTCAATTATTTGTAAAATTCAAACTTTATTAATAAACACTTATATTAAGTTTCGCCTACTACTAGCTTATAATACTTACCACATAAGTGAATTGTAAATAAGCTGCCAACTAATTTCTAGAAAGTACTAACGCAAAGCACTGAGAAATGAATAAAGACACCCTGTTCCCTCTTCTCTCACCTTTACGCTGCTGGGCAGCCTAAAGCTTGAGGCGAGAAAAAGCAGGGCAATTGTGTATGTGATTCCCTCGCATGCAGGCTGAAAAAAAAAAAAATGAAAAAATGAAAAAGAATTTAAAAGCTTTTGCATTTAATTATTAAAATATTTCAAAGTTATTGAAACGATGTCTAGAACTCGAATGCATGGATCTAGTGAAGATGAAGATGTGGAAGTGAGGCAACTTCTTGACGAGCCAAAAAACGTGGTTGCACCCATGTTGTCAAATGTGCTTAATAAGATAAAAAGTCAAAGTGAATTAAACCTGCTCCCGTCTACTTCGAAGGCTACTACAACTAATCATTACTTATTGAGAAGTTCTGTAACGAAAGGTAATATAGCCTCAAATAGGCCACCCAAGATGGCCGACTCTAATGAATGCTTTCAAAAGCAAAAGGCCAATAAGAGAGCCGCTATTAAAGGCAACAGCCCAGGAAAAGTGAATAAAAAATCAAATTTAAATGACACTTTTGACCCTGCATGTAACTCCAGTGACAGCCAATCTGCAAATATGGACTTTGAGCCAGTGCCCTTAAGTGAAAGTACAATTTCTAAGCCCACTACTGAGCCCACGGGCAACTTTAACCTTAATGTAACCCCTAAATTAGTGGGTGAAACCTATGGTTCTAAATTCAATATGAAGCCGGCGCCTTTATATTTATATAAAGTCACTAACATTATAACTCTGCTCTCCGACTTGAGTCGAGTTATAGGCGAAAATAACTTCACAACTAAGCCTGCAGCCAGGCGTGCCATCAGAGTCCAATGTAATGACATAGTCACTTATAATAAACTCACCAAATATGTAGCTGAGAAAAAGTTAGATAGCCATACGTATCAGTTGAAATCTGAGCGTGGCTTTAGGGCTGTCATAAGGCACCTGCATCATTCAACACCTGATAAGTGGATACGTGACCATCTCACTAAACTGGGGCATGATGTTAAATTTCTCAGGGTCATTAAAAATCGTTACTCAAATCAGCCACTCAATCTCTTTGAGATTGAGTTAAAAGTTAAAGACAACAATGCTGATCTATACAAGCTCAACTCTCTCGGCAACCAGAAAATCAAGGTTGAAGTGCCACTAAAAGCCACCGATGTGCCACAGTGCCACAGATGTCAAAAGCTTGGGCACACCAAGAACTATTGTAACTGCCCTTATGTGTGTGTTAAGTGTGGTGAAAACCACGCAACTGCCGTTTGCACCAAGCAAAAGGATGATAAATCGCCTGCTAAATGCGCTAACTGTCTAGGCAACCACGCTGCCAGTTACAAAGGGTGCCCCGTGTATAAGGAGGCACTCAAAATAAAAACAAACGCAAAATCATCTAGGATTAACAACATTTTAGCTGGTTTAAGCGATGTTATTCCAGCCATCTATGACAAACGTGGCCAACCAAACTTAAGGCAACCACGTCCATCGTCATCCAATCCCGGCAATCCTGCCCAAAGCTACGCTTCTGCTCTTCGTGAAGGCTTAAATGCATCTCAGGCCAACTCAACGCCTCCAGCAAATGAGTCGCAACTGCGGCACTCCAGATCAACAAACAAGAAGACAACTTTGCAATCCTTCAAAGAACCAATGCCACCTGCTGCTAGGCCGCAGTATCAACACAGGAGTCGCAGTCTAAGTATACGACGCACACCTATATTGTCTGCACATGACTTAATAACAAAGAATAAATATGACGCACAATTAGATCAAATTACAAAATTTATTAACTTAAATAACGAATCAAGGCTAGAAACTAAACTAGACAAACTAATTGAAATAACAAATTCACTTATTAAAATATTTATGACTAATAACAGCTCTAAACTGCAGCTCCATAATGCAAAGACCTGAAAAACATAAGAGTTGATCAATGTTGCTAATGAAAATATAACTAAACACTCACCAATTTAAACAAAAGATGAAACACACATACCTGAAAGTAAATTAATCATATCAATCACTGAAAATACTACGAATGAACCAATAATTACTTACCTGATATCCCGATTAATAATCTGACTTACCTGAAAATAAAAATATAAAGAAATTTAATTAAAATCCAAAAAATAACAATAAATAAAGTACTTACCAAATTAACTCAAATCTAAAAGTAAAACAATTAATTTCTATAGCATTGTGGCTGCTTGAGCGTTGACTTGCCTTGCATGTGGCAAAGGCGATCTTCACTGAAAATAAAGAAATAACTAAATTAACTAATAGTAAAATACACTCCTACGTATGCTTATACTAAATAAATAAAATAAACTCAATATTTACCTTGATATAAACCTGCAAACCTAAAATGCAAAACTAATTAAAACATCAAATAACTTCTGTAAATAACTTACGCATAATACTCACCAAAATTAACTCAAATCTAAAAGTAAAACAATGAATTTCTATAACAATATAGCTACTTGAACATTAACTTACCTTACTTATAGCAAAAGCGATCTTCACTGAAAATAAAGAAATTACTAAATTAACTAAATAGTAAAATGCACATCTACGTATGCTTATACTAATGAAATAAAATAAACTCAATACTTACCTTGATATAAACCTGCAAACCTAAAATGCAAAACTAATTAAAACATCAAATAACTTCTGTAAATAACTTACGCATAATACTCACCAAAATAAATAAATAACTTACAATAAGAAAATAATAAAACATATAAGCATTTACTGAACACAAGTGTATGCTGATCGTAAATGCAAATCAAAACAAAACAAGTAAAATATGTGCAAAGCAAAATTGCGAAATTCTGCACTTCTTTTATCTAACAAGATGTCGTTTGCACGACACAATGGAATGAAACAATAAATATAAATATTATATGTAAATAATTAAAGCTACCTCACAATCAACATAATCATTAGAATTAAATAAATGAGTAAAACTAAAAATGAAGTACAATTATAAATATATATAAAATTAATAAACACATCTCACACAATACTTACCTCATCTCCCCGATCAAACACGGCTGCTCTCTGGACCCCATGGGATGACAACGGACGGCAGCAACACACATCTGTAATGAAGAGAATTATATTAGCTACACTATAAGTTAGACTTAATCCTATATTAAACTATGTATATAAAAAAAGAAGATGATAAGACTTTGTCGCTCATCTTTCAGATATTGAAATCAATTAATTATTCCTTATCTATGTCAATTTATGAATTTTACAAACTACTTAAAATTTCTATAGCATTTAAAATCATAGAGTTTCGGTTATTATCTGTCTTATATATCTAGATTAGTTACCTAGTTATAAGATGCCATGTACATTTCGAAAAAGAGCCATATGAACGGCACTGCGGAATAAAGAGTCACCTTGCTCCCTTATCCCCTCCCCTTATAGCTGCTGGGCAGCCAATAAGAAAGAGGAGATAAAAGCATGGTGCAATTGTGTATGTGATTCCACACATGCAGGTTGAAAAAAAAAAATGAAAAAATGAAAAAGAATTTAAAAGCTTTTGCATTTAATTATTAAAATATTTCAAAGTTATTGAAACGATGTCTAGAACTCGAATGCATGGATCTAGTGAAGATGAAGATGTGGAAGTGAGGCAACTTCTTGACGAGCCAAAAAACGTGGTTGCACCCACGTTGTCAAATGTGCTTAATAAGATAAAAAGTCAAAGTGAATTAAACCTGCTCCCGTCTACTTCGAAGGCTACTACAACTAATCATTACTTATTGAGAAGTTCTGTAACGAAAGGTAATATAGCCTCAAATAGGCCACCCAAGATGGCCGACTCTAATGAATGCTTTCAAAAGCAAAAGGCCAATAAGAGAGCCGCTATTAAAGGCAACAGCCCAGGAAAAGTGAATAAAAACTCAAATTTAAATGACACTTTTGACCCTGCATGTAACTCCAGTGACAGCCAATCTGCAAATATGGACTTTGAGCCAGTGCCCTTAAGTGAAAGTACAATTTCTAAGCCCACTACTGAGCCCACGGGCAACCCTAACCTTAATGTAACCCCTAAATTAGTGGGTGAAACCTATGGTTCTAAATTCAATATGAAGCCGGCGCCTTTATATTTATATAAAGTCACTAACATTATAACTCTGCTCTCCGACTTGAGTCGAGTTATAGGCGAAAATAACTTCACAACTAAGCCTGCAGCCAGGCGTGCCATCAGAGTCCAATGTAATGACATAGTCACTTATAATAAACTCACCAAATAT